TTAATCTCTTTTCATTATTCTCTTTAGATATATTATAAAATAGTATTTAAAATCAGTTGTCAGCCACATGTGGTCTATATGATGCAACATGTTTGCAATTGTTGGCATGTCATTTTTCATTTAGTATTATTAAAATTAATTTAGTGTTATTAAAATTAATTTGTAACTAATTTTGCTTTTTAATTCTACCATTAATATGACTTTTAAAATAATAAAATTGTTTATTTGTTTCAAAAAACACTGTTTTATTACTTACAATATAGTATGTTATTACAAGATACTTCTGACTTTTTCTCTGTTTCAAACCAGTTTAGTTATAATTTTTGTTCACAAATTTTATTAGACGCTTTACACATAGTTTCATAGGTTTAAACTGATAAATAGCACTTTATTGTTTTTGTTCATTTTAGATTAGTATAGAAAAAAATTAATCAGATATGCGTTTGTATATCTTTATTTATATTTATGTGCTTAAGTTTATATAAGTTTATATTAAGTTGTTTCCATGTGAAAAGTGATGTTTCTTGGCAACGGGTAGTGCAAGATTGTGATTCTTGCTAGCCAAACGATGTTATTAATTAGTGGTGTTACTTGGCACTTAATGCCAAGCGGTGTTACTAAATTGTGGTGTTACTTGGCTGCGTTTAGTGCCAAGCGGTGTTACAAGTGTTGAGCTTGGTTGTGTTGTCTAGCTTTTTAAATTATTCTGGAAACACATCTGAATATTTTGTGTTATGTGCAAATGTGTTTATGTGCAAATATTTTATGCTATGTGTATTCAGTAGCATAGGCAGGGTCTTTTGATGCTTCAGATAGCACTTTCAACCAAACTTAAGTGTATTCACATTTATAGAATTAAAATACTTTGCAAAAAATTGATGTTGTTAAAGCTTAGGAACAAATGTTTAAAAAAAGTGTTTTTCCTAACCTGAATTTTTTTAGACATAACAAAGTTAAACTCTTCAACAACTTCTAAATATATATCTGAAACAACAAAAATCCTGCCTACACTACTGGTGTTATTGTTTGTCATCCTGTAATGTTGTTGTGATATTTTGTGTTGATAGACAGCTTGGCTTACCTTCATGTTGGTGTCTATCGTTAAAAATGATTATTGGGTAGCTTCATTACTGAAACTTACTCCTAATCATTCACTAAAAGCCAAGAAATTTTTTAAGAAAAAATGCCGAATTTTTTTGTGTCAAAAAGAATTTTTATCTTTAGCAACGCTGATAAAACTGAATTTTTTAAAAAAAAAGAGTATTTCCAGCCTTCTAACCAAATATTAGAGACTTTTACAAAAGCACTCTCACAAAGTAGGTGTTTAATATTTATTTAATATTACTAAATTTCGTTTCGTATTTTTCATTTTTCAAATGAATTAACATAAGACAAATAAATGTGCATTCAGTGTTATCAATAATGATTTTATTTCATTTTTAGATAATGCTTTTATAATCAATTTAAAAGTCTTTCAAATCTTTAATCATTTTCTAAAGGCGAAAAAGAAGAATCATCAATCTTCATACCATTTGATAAAGCTATTTTAATAAAACGCAATACAAATTGTTGTAAATTAGTATTTGAATAATTTTCACGTTGTTACCTTATTTTGCAGTTTCCTATCACTTTGTATTGAATTAACTAAATCCAATATTACAGTTCCTTATATCAAGTACTTCACATTTTCTGTTTTTGTTTTATGCAGAAAAACAGATCAAGTTAATTTATTTGACTTGCCTAGCTACTTATTTTACACGCCTAGCCACAGTGAGTGTGCATAAATCAACAGAGGATTTGGGTTTGGGCAGGTTGTCTTGAACTAAATGATTTACCTTCTTCATTTTAAGCTCTAAATATAAATATACGGGAAAGGTGCATATGTGAATATTTTTTTTCCAGCACATAATCTATTGTTCACTAAAAAATATTAGAGGGAGAAATAGAGATAAGGTTAATGTGAAATAGAATTTGTCCTTTTAAGTGAAAAACTATTTAATAATCTATCTATCTTCTATATAATAATGCCGAACTTAATAGTAGTGTTAGTAGAAAGAGTTGCAGCACTTTTTTTATAAAAAAACGTGTATGCAAATATCTAACGCACGTAATTAAGTAATGATAAAACATGCTGAAACATTTTCAAGTTTTATAGTTTCACTTTGACTTAAAAATTGCATTGCGTCAACCTCTCCTTAATTTTTGATCTACAGCAATTCCGTTAAAAACAATTTTTATATATTTTTTAATTTTCGATATTTGATGTGTCAGCATGGCCGAGTGGTTAGCAAGCTAAGCTTCTGAACGTAATAGTCGTGGTTCAAATTTACCACTAGCGATTTTTTTCTTAGAATCTTTAAATTACAAAATATTTGTGAAGTTAAACAAGTTAAATGTTATACACTTTAACTGTTTTTTCTTTTAAAATTTTATGAATTTTTAGGATTTCTAAAAACACCAATGAACGGGGCGAAAATTTGTTGCGTGTGTGTCATGATTTTGATACTGTTCTCACATAATTGGTCCTAATAAGCTACGGATAGTTTTTAAAAAAAAGGTCCTAAAACCTAATAAGGAAAGAATTTGATAAAACCGTCCTGCTACTCCACATGGTATTGCAGCAAAGGCAGTGAAAAAAAAAGCAATTAAAAGGTTTTTTGTTATATTTAATTTTTTGCTATAAATATAGCCAGATTAAAAAAATTAAAAAAAAAGTATTGATATTTTTTAGGCGCGGATTTGAAACCTTGCACAGCGACTCTGATGACTGCGCACTTAACTTGTGAGCTATGCAAGTTATGCATGTAGTTAGGCGCTTCAACATTTTTTATAAAAATGTAAAATGAAAACAAAATAAATACCATAAGCAAGAGCTAAATAATAACGTTTAAAATTACCAAACTTTTTGTTATATTATTATTAGTTTTTCAACTTTTTCAACAAACCACAAAATTTATAATTTATTTTTTTGCCATACTTTTGATGCTTTAAGCGACTAACGTTTTAAAGAATTGCATTACCGTTTCCGTCTAATACAAAGGTAACTATAAAAGACCGTTATTATTCAAAACTAAGCATATAATAATAATAAATATAGTAAATAGTAACTATTGAAAATGGTTAGGACGCAATCATAAACCATGGTCCATGGCTGGTCTAAAAGTAGGAAGTAGTTTAGTTCAGAATTTTTAAAAAAAATAAATAAATAAACGGGGTTTAATAAGCTATATACGTATGCGGAAAAAGTGCGTATGTTAAAGTTTTTTTTTGCTCTCAAAGCAAATTTTTTTATTGAATTTTTTTCCACTGTTTACTAAAAAATATTGTAGTAATTAAGGAACAAGCAAAGAAATGATTGGCGTGAAATAGATAAATATAGAAGTTGAAGGAAAGACCTGTATTTACCGATACGGACAGCTAGATTGAGAAAATAAGGGAAAAGGTTTGTGTGGAATAGACTTACAAAGACCCGTATTTTTACGGGTCAATTCAGCTAGTATAATATAACTTGCACAAACGGACGTGGTCACGTTCTCTAACTTGAAAAACGTTTTCGTGGTCAGACGAGAAAGAAAACCGCACCCCTTTTCTGGGAAGGCTTGATATATATTGCTGACCTTATTTTTCTTTACTCTGAGGACTGATATATATATATATATATATATATATATATATATATATATATATATATATATATATATATATATATATATATATATATATATATATATATATATATATATATATATATATATATATATATTAGGGTGGTCCATAAAACAACTTTTTTGAGAAAAACCTGCTGACACCCACTAAATGTGTTTTATCTAATGCAAAAACACTAGGTTTAAAATTTTTTTGAACAAAAATTATTTTTAGGGGTAGCTCAAGGCCCTCAAAAATTTGACGGGTCCCTAATATTTTGAAAAAAAAACTTTTTCTAAAGTATGTCAACCTGGTACTCAAAATAAGCAAAATTATATAAAAAATTTGAAAATGATAATAATTTTTTATAAAAATAATTTTTTTAGGTATAAATGCATAAAAACTATTGTTTTTAAGCTGAAAATAAAAAAAGTCATTATTTTCAGGTTTTTTGAGAATAATTTTTTTTAGGCATGTTTTTTATGTAAAATGATTATTATTTTTGAAGTTTTTATACAATATCACTTCTTTTGAGTACCAGGTTGACATACTTTAGAAAAAGTTTTTTTTTCAAAATATTAGGGACCCGTCAAATTTTTGAGGGCCTTGAGCTACCCCTAAAAATAATTTTTGTTCAAAAAAATTTTAAACCTAGTGTTTTTGCATTAGATAAAACACATTTAGGGGGTGTCAGCAGGTTTTTCTCAAAAAAGTTGTTTTATGGACCACCCTAATATATATATATATATATATATATATATATATATATATATATATATATATATATATATATATATATATATATATATATATATATATATATATATATATATATATATATATATATATATATACTTTAATATAAAATCTTCAAGTTTATTCATGGGTAAGGGTAGATTAAGCTTGTATATTTTGAATAATAACTCTAAGTGGTAGTTTTATGATAAAAAATACTCTAATCTGGTCTGTAAAAAAGATTAAACCAAGAAAGTGAAACCAGTTTTGAAACACTGTTTTTTTAATGTCTTATTTAATAATTAAAAAAATTAAAATGATACAAGTTAATGAAGAATATAAGTTTAATTTTAAAATTATAAATTAAAAAACAAATTAGTAAAAAAAACAAAAATTAATAAATAGAAATTTATTCGCCAACTCAGTTCAGTATTTTAAAATTACTCACAAAAAATCATTTCTACCAAATATTTTTAAAGCTGTTGTTTTAAGTTAACTTTTTTATAATTAAAATAACTAATACCAATAATTAAACTGATGAAAATTAAAAAAGTTGGTTTAATGCAGGCTTTCTTAACATTTAATATTATCAAAAATTGAAACTCATTAAAAAATGTTAC